TCTGCGTTTGGCGGCGGACGGCCGTTTTTTGCGGCGGTTTGCGGCGGGCAGCCGTTTTTTGCGGTTTGCGGCGGGCGGCCGTTTTTTTTGCGGCGTTTTGCGGTTGCCGGCGGCCGGCCGTTATTTGCGGTGTTGCGGTTTGCGGCGGGCGGCCGTTTTTTGCGGCGTTTCGCGGTTGGCGGCGGGCGATGCGGGCTTTTTTGCGGCGGCGGTGTTTGCGTTTTTTGCGGTGTTTGCGTTTTGCGGCGGGCGGGCGGTTTTTCACAATTCAAGTCCCAACCTTCGGATCCGCAGTGCTGTTCGACAAGTGCTGCCCGGGCCCGCCTTACAGTTTAATTAAAAACAGCTACCCAAATCTACCCAAATAATACAGATAAAAATACAAGTCAATCACCCCAACTAATGCACCCGTAACATAACATAAATCAAAACATACAGTTATCGCGTAAACCTGTACCTCTAGTATTACTTAAAAATCAAACGCTCTTCATTTTATAGCGATTTAAAATACTGTCTCAAATAGCCCCACTGTCTCAAATAGCCCCACTTTACGGTAACCTTTTTGTTATGTCTTAATTCCTTAAAAAATGAAGATGTTAGCGGCGTTTGAGATTTCGCCGGTTTTGAGGCGAAAATGGCGAACATGACGTCACTAAAACGTCATTTTCTAAAGAAAAATCGGACGGATTTCGCTCAAATTTTCAGGGAACGTGTCAAATTGATGTATAATATCAATTTAATTTATAATATCAAGGTACTGAAAGCTAGACGTCGTTGGCGTAACGCGTTTTGAAGTTATTGGTGAAAAACGGGAGGGGCAGATTCTGCCCCCCCCCCCCCCAGCGGGGCGCGGGTTAAGCTTCAGAGCATCACAGACAGGTAGCATTCATGTCGTACGGTTTTCGAAATATCTTGAATTTCGGCTTTGCCCCAACTCCGGCATTACCCCAGCTTCCCCTATCGAAAAAACAAAAGGGGGGGGGGGGCAAAAAATATCCCCCCACCGCCTGGACGATTAATTTTTAAGAAACTGTGAAGTTCACTTAAATTGGTAACAAAGTACCTACATCATTCGATGCGTAAGGACGTCCTGAGTTCACTGGTGCTTTCAGGCCCATGTCACTCTACTTTTGATGACATCATAAGGGGGTCTCAGGACAATTAAAGGCGCGATGCGCCACAATCGCTCCCAAGCTACTTGCCAACAGCTGCCATTTTTGAAAATATTATTTTTAACCACGCCCCAGTGGCGGTCTCGGCCAACTTCGCCCTAGTGGTGGGGGGGGGGGCATATGTTACCACCCACCTCTAACTCAAAAACTAAGAGAAGCAGTCGATAGCTCTCAATGCGTGCGTTTGAAATTATTTCGGTAATTTTTCATCTTAGAGCAATATTCGGGTCACCAGAGGTCATCAAAGGTCAAAATTTGCCAAATGTCATTATATTTTTCAGAAAACATGCATTTATCTCAGGAACTATGACAGATAGAAAAACGCACGGAAAAGCAATCGATAGCTTTTGAACTCTTCTTTTGATAAGGTTATCATCGAAAATGACCTCAGGTCAACGGTTTAGCCTCCAGAGGGCAAAAACTCCAAAAATAGCTGTTTTTATGAAAAGTGTTTTCGACAATAACTTTTGACTAAAAAAAAAAGCTAATACATTTCTATTGCCAGAATCGTGTTCCTCTCGCCGAGACGCGTCGAATGAACTATAATTTGACCTTGAAAGGTCAACTTGAAAATTTGACCTCAGGTCAAGGTCATGACCTGACCGGGGAAAAGGTCATGTCGCATATCAGTCGATGCGTCTCGACAATAAAACACAATGAAGCCATCCCCAGCGTCCTATCTCTTTCCAATCGAGAGTTATTGGCAAAAAGCTGTTTGTAGCCTCAAATGACCTCCGATGACCTTTCTAGAGGCTATCAGCAAAAAGGACACCTTGGTCGTCACGGGTGGTCTAAATCATTGTGATTCTGAGATATTTGGACTGTTCCTATGCGTACACATGGATCTACAGGCATTTTAATTTGACTCCATTGACTTATAATGGTAAGGTCACGCCACTGGCCTGACCTTAGGTCACGGATATAAAAAAATCAAAGATATACAAATTATAGGCGCCCATATCATCATGCAATCCACCAAGTTTAAAATCTTTCTGACAAACACCAGGCTGGACATGATTGCAAACATTTTTAGGCATGGTCAGTTAACTTGACCCGGTGACCTGACCTGACATGACCTGAGGTCAAAAATTTCACACATTGTCCAAAATTGATGTACAAAAAGCTACCCCAAGCGGCGCTTTATTCACACGCAAATAACGCGACAGGGTGATAACATATGCCCCCCCCCCACCCACCCCCCCACCCCCAATGGGGCGAAGGTTAAGCGGTCCGAAGCGAAAGCATGTGACGTGGCCGGCCCGGGGTAGCGGCCGGCCCCGTCCCATGACGGCGGCTGCACCTGAGTCCTACCCAGGCGTCGCTGACATTACAATTGGACCTTCCTCCCCCCCCCCCCCTGCTCAGTAACTTTGACTGTCGGGGATCGGGCCGACCATGAGTCCCCCCACCCTCAAACTGAAAGTCTGGATCCACCCTGGTGCCCTAACTAATTGCTAACTAGAATCAGCACACACGCGTCGCGGCTTATATGTATATGATTATGCGTAGATGTCGCAGCTATAGCGACACATGCAGTGCAAATGGTAGCAGACAGCAGTAGTTTCCCCTACCTAAGTGGTGGTTTTCTACCACAGATGCTCGTCGAGGTCGGAATTTCCAAATACTCCCCAAAAAAAACCCTAAATATTGACTTAGGGTCACCAAATTTTCACGGGGGCGAGATCTTCATGGACCCACCTACCCTGAAAATTTGGCATTTCTAAGTGCCATAGGAGCCAATCGCCAGGGGGTCGTACCAACCCCTCTCCCCTCGCCGTCCGTGTTATGGAAAAGGCCCTCGCCGGGCGCAATTGATATTTTTCTCCGGCCCCTAAGATATTTTTCCACGAAATTACCTCTCCTTACCAGTCGGGGGAGGTTTGGTCAATCATTGTCATTTTTATACTTCAACGATGGACTACCATACAAACAACAGTCATATTGAAGCTGGTTTCTTCTTCTTGCACCAGGTGGCAGCACTTCTTTTCCAAAATCAGTGCTTGTATTTCCAAAATCGTGATTTCCTCGCTGAGGAGTGAAATCGGCTTCATCGTGGACAAAAATAGCTGATAGCGTTGTCATTATTGGCACATGGTTGCCAAAAATGGCATGTGTAAAAATGACAGCAATTTACCAAACCTCCCCTGACTGTTGTCCTACCATCCACTGGTCTGAGAAGCCAGGCCCATGTCACTCCACTTTTGATGACATCATATGGGGGCCTCAGGACAATAATGGCGCGGCGCGCCACAATCGCTTCAAAGCTACTTGCCAACAGTTGCCATTTTTTGAAAATATTATTTTTAAATAAAGTTCCAAGTAATAAAAATATTGTAATAAAGTTGTTGAATAAATCGATACCATATCTAAAAACTTACTGAAAAATGATTTATTCATAGTAAATATATAAGCTCGATGCGTTTTTACGTTGCTTTTCTTCAACTGCAGAGGGTTTTTAAATCGTCTATATCTTCAAAACCGGCCATTTCTTAGCATATTGCTGCTCTTTTTTATCGCTAGAAAATTAGTTGGACTTTCCAATGACATCAATAATTGAGCGATATGTGTAAAGTGTCACCAACAATCTTCAAATGAAGTAAGTCATTTTTACTTTGTAAAGGAATGGAGTACCCCTATCGAGCATCAGGGGTGACGTCCCTCAGGATCTGTCTCTGATTGGTCGGCGGGAGAGAGACTGTACCTTCTATAGATGGCCTTGTGAGAAGCATTGTTTTGCTGCTTAAGGGCTGATTAAAGATTAATCTTTTAGGGGTCTCTTCAACATGTCAGTAGGGGCAGGTTTGGTCAATTGTTGTCATTTTTAGCATGTGCTATTCTATTTTTGTCACATGTGCCAAAAATGGCAACAATTCTGCTATTTGTGACAATGATGAAGCTGATTTCACTCCTCAGCGAGGAAATAACAATTTTGGAAAGATAAGCACTGATTTTCGAAAAGTGCTGCCACCTGGCGCAAAAAGAAGAAGCCAATTTTATGCCCGTTGTTTGTATGGTAGTTTGTTTTGTGGCCTGAAGTTGGAACTTAAAATTGAAGCATCCGAAAATGATTGATATTGATCGAAAACACAATGTTGATGAAAACAAATAATATGTTGAGTTGGGAGAGGTCATTTTATCCAGATGCAGTGGTTTACCTCTTGAAATTATTTTTGCTAATTGACGACCGTGCATCATCCGTCATTACATGGCGGTCGTCATAAACAAAAATAATTTCAAGAAGTAAACCACCGCATCTGGATGAAATCGCCTCATCTTTCAACTCAACATATTCTTTTTTCATCAAAATTTTGTTTTCAATCAATATTGATCATTTCGGATGCTGCAAATTGAAGTTTCAACTTCAGGCCACAAAAAGGGTAGGTATACTGATACGTCAACATTGGTCTACCATACAAACAACGGCCATATTAAAGCTGATTTATTCTTCTTGCACCAGGTGGCAACACTTCTTTTCCAAAATCAGTGCGGTAAAAGTATAGTGCTTGCACTCCCAAAATTGTGATTTCCTCGCTGAGGAGTGAAATCAGCTTCATCGTTGCCAAAAATAGCTGATAGCATTGTCATTTTTGGCACATAGTTGCCAAAAATGGCATGTGCTAAAGCCTAAAAATGACAGCGATTGACCAAACCTCCCCAGACTGATGTAGCAGGATCACAAAATAGTGCTCTAATTTTAGCTTATATCCCTGATAAGTCACCGGCTCAATGGGCTGAACTATTTGCCGACGACTGGTAGTCACGCAATAAAATTGGCTAAGCTAGGAACGCTGATTCACAAGGTAGAGTGCAATATAGTAACATACTTACAGTAAAAGATGCTTAAAATTCACAAATCACCGGCCCCGGACTTCAACCGCTGCTCCTCCTTCCTCCACCGGCAGACAGAGACCTCAAGCTCTGAGAAGTGAGAGAGCAATGGCCGTTGATGACAAAAACGCACTAGTAAGCAGCTAGTATGCGCCACAAACGAGCTAAAACGTGGTGACGTTAGCGGCGCAGTAACAGTAGGTAAATCTGATAGAAGCCGCAGGTAAATTTTCATGTGAAAAAGTAAACGTATAAGGTAAATTTGTGAAAAATATATTATAAACATTCCTCCTCCATAGGCGTAGGAACAGGGGGGGCCGGGGGGCTATGCCCCCCCCCACTTTCGGAGGTGGGGGGCCAGCAATGTTAACTGGCCCCCCCCCCACTTTTTGCTGACTTAAGTGTCTGTCTGTACAGTCTGTCTTGAAAGTACCGCAGCATGGGCTGCGGCGGCCCGGCGAACTAAAGGTCGGGAGCTTGGTGGTTTGAGAGCCCCAGAGCACGTGACGGCAGTGAGCCAGGAGAGAGTGACCGGGCAGGTCGCGTGGGGTGCCGCTCTCCCTTATGGCCCTTTCACACGTAGCAACTTTTCAGTCGCCGGCGACAGCAGCAGTCGCTGGCGACCGCCAGCGACCGCCAGCCAACGATCGTGTGTGACGTAGGTATGACGTAAGCAAGTCGGTGGCGATCGCCGGGCCACGGCCGGGCAATCGCCAGCAACTGGTGACGTCAGATCCGCGTCACAGGCCAGTCGCCGGCGACTCTTCTCGAGCAGCGGACGCCGCCATGACAGTTTTGTCCTTGGTGAGTGGTTTAGGTGATTTGTGATGCATTTTTGGTTGGTGTGGCTACCTTAAATTTGTTGCACAGTAGCATAGGGATTATTATCTTGTAGTTTGCCTGTCGTGAAGCTGTTGTGACTTGAATTTAAGCTTGATTCGACAATATTGGAGGGTTTATGTCATTTGTGGCGCACTTGCCCATGATCACCCATGATTTTTATTTGTGATAAATATGCATTTTTCATCAAAATTGAATATTTTAATGACATTGAAATTGACACTAGTTTCATAAGGTAATGAAAACTTGCTTGTTGTGTCACAAGATCATTGTTTACATTCAGTATCAGTGCCCTTGAGGACAAAGTGCCTACCTATCAGTCAGCTATTTGCCTACCTATTCGTGCGACACAAGGAAATATTTGATAGCAACAAAATATTATATTGCTGCTCATTAATTAGCATGATCAAAATCAAACAGGTAGCTTTGCAATTTTGTTATTGTTTCTGCTGGAGTTTTCCTTGGTACCATGGATAAACAACCCAGGCCAAACTTAATCCGCATTGGGTTCGCATGTGTGTGCGTGCTCACATGGCAAATGATAATCCATGGCTTATTAGTACATAAATAATTGCATTATGCACAGTAGGTGGTAGGTATGTCATGTATTTTGGCAAGGTATTAGGTGGTATGTATTTTGGCCCTGGAGCTGTTTCCTATTCATTGCAGCAATGCTGCCGGCATGGCTTATGTGTACCATGCGCACACAAGCTCCACCAATGTAAAAATGTCATTTTCACACAAAACTCATAATTGGAGGAAGGTAGAGCAGACCAAGAATAAGCGGGCATTTGCTGCATGTGGAAAAAGTCACTAGAGGCTTGATACTTTTTTACATGCAGCAGCCTGGAGATGTCCACAGAGGCATGCCTGAGGATGTCCACAGAGGTGGATCCAGGCAATAGTTTTTACAATCTTCTCCCCTTGTGCCCGCTGTGTGTTGTGCTGACCAAGGCCATATATAGATGCTTGTCCCCCTTCTGGTGGTGCCTAGACTTGCCTCTGCATATCTCCCTGCAGGCTGCTGCATAATGTAAAAAAAAAACCCTCAAGCCTCTAGTGACTTTAATCACTCCAGTCTCTACAGCATATGCCCACTCATGCTACAGGCTACAGCTGCCTTAATAATACCAAAATTAGTAACAATGGTCTCATAACCATATTCAGTAGGAAATGAATTACCTAGAAAATTATATTAAAAAATACAATTGCTTTCAAAAAGAATGAGCACTGCTAAAATGCTATTATTTCAAATAATGCTAGGTTTCTGAACCACAAATTCCAATTCTGTGTCACTGAATACTGATTGCCAATTGTACAAGACAAAAAGCGTCAACAATGCTACATCAAGGATAATGATGCTAAGATAGTTCTCATTTTAGCCTGAAGTGTAAAAACCAAACCTAACCTGATTTGGGTATTTGGGTAAACCAAGCCTAACCTGATTTGGGTATTTGGGTAGTTTTTATGATGCTAAGCAATAGCCTATTCCAGGCTTCCTAATTTGCAGAGCTTTTGGTTAAAAAATGATTTTTAAAAATGTATTTGAAGTATGTTCTGACATGTCCGCCCTCTGTGCCTGGCAGACAAGTCACAGTGTTACCTGATGAGTCAAGAGGTTCTGTACCTGATGTACCTGATCAAGAGTACCTGATGATTCTGCAACACCACCTGATGGCCAACTCGACGGCATTGCTGACCCGAAAAGGAGTCTAGCAGCTGAATGTTCAACTTCTGCCACTGCACTGTTGATTCTGCCTAGAGACAGCATCTGCACCACGGCCCACAGACGATCTTCCGTGGGACGGTGTGCTGCGCACCAGTCACCACACTGACGGCGTTCACCTGTGTGCTGCACAACTTTCTGTGAGGTCAGGAGATCGACACTGACGGCCCCGGACGGTGTGCTCTGATTGCGCCGAGTGTGCTCCCTCGTGTCCGGGCCTTGATGCCAATACCGCACGCGAGGCGGCGCGCGTCCGCCAAGCCCTCACATACTGCGTCCAAGGTGCAGGTGGTGTTCGGTGACAGTGTGCAGCTTCTGCCGGCCCCGTGGACGGCACCGCGTGTGGCCATGGCATGTGCAGTCGATTTTCTGACATACGTGCAGTGAATTCATTTGTCATTTTGCTTCTGAATGCTGTCGCCGCTCGGTAGGGTCGATTCTGCCAGAGTGAAGAGGTCGCCACGATCGGCGGCAAGGAGCAAGGCACTCAGCAATCAGCTGCCGGGAGGTGGCGGCGGCGGCGGCGGCTGACGACTCGGGCCTCGAAAATCCTGTCGTGTGCGTTGCTGGCTATTATGCGTTGTTGGTGTGCGCTGTTTTGCAAGGCCTTTGGAGCGGCATGTCGAGTTTTGAGTTTTGGACGAAGGAGCCTTGGTGTTTTGTTGGTCTATTTTCGATAAAAACGGTCATGAAGAGTGAGCTGTGTCCAGGCTGATTTTAAGATTTCTGTCACAGTATTGTCACCTTTGACAATGACCTAGGCTTGTGTCTTCTTGGGTATCGGCATATGTGCCACCGTCCTTGCCCCGTGTCCGCGCGTGCTGCATTTTTATGTGGTCGCCCGTATGGTTCCACTGTGTGGAAAAATGCATTTTGTTATAAGGGGGAGGGGTACACTTGTGTTTCCCAATCCAGCGCTTTAGATAATACAGCATCTGTTTTTGACATAATGAAAGCCTGTGTTTTATGTGGGTGGTAGGCTTCGCCGTTCCTCAGGTCCGTTTCTGGCATTTGAATTTCTGCTACATTTCTAGAATGCCTTTTTTCTGTTTTTCACATACAAAGCACGGTTCAAATGTGTGACCACAAATCACTGTGATTGTCCCATGCTTACCACTAACCATTCCTTCAATGCTAATGTCGTTACAGCGAAGTTATTCATTTATTAAGAACAGGGTTGTAGTTGAATAAACAAGACAGGTGAGCAAAATCTGCAGCACTCGTAATCTTGGCTGATGCGTTAGGAAAAATGGAGGAACTGCAAGTACACATCACTTTTCAGTTTTATGCTTGAGTGCATTGAATTCCAATGTAGAAGAATCGCAGTTTGATTGTATTTTCATTGATATTATGTATTGTTTCAATAATAGATCTAATAAATATTATTCCAATATTACCTAGACGGTAGTTATCATCCTGCAAAACACGTCCAAATATTTAGTACCTTGAATAATGCAGTAAAATAAGCTGCGCCGCTGCATGTATCAGCAGCGCAATATCTGGTGCCAACTCAAGGTCAAGCGGGTCACGTGACAGTTGAGCGGCGGCTGGCTAGAACAGTCGCCGGCGACTTCAAAATGTTGGAAAAATTGAACTTTCTCGGCAACGCCGACAACTCTTCAATGATTGGCTGACACGACTGCTACGTCACACCCCGGCGACTGGTCAGCTGATATCGACAACTGCGGAGTTGCCGGCGACTGACCCCGGTCGCTGGCGATCGCCGGCAACTGACCCCGGTCGCTGGCGATCGCCGGCGACAGTTGCCGTCGCCGGCCACCGGAAAAGTTGCTACGTGTGAAAGGGCCATTACTCTTTCCACCCCGCTGCGGCGCCTGTCGCCCGGGGGCACGGGCCGTCTGCGAGCACGAGTGGAGAACTTGACCGGCTCGGCCGATCCCCCGGTGGCCGGTTCACCCTTGGAACCGTTTTATTCTCGACGAAAAGACAGACGTAGCCAATCTAAAGGATGAGCGCGACTACTTGCATTGTTATCAGAACATGACACATATTGAACACTATGAACAATACTTTACGATCATGGAACGGAACAGAATAAATGTAATAAAACTGAAATAACAATGTGAATAACAACACAGAACAATGTCAACGCAGTAGTTTGTCGAAAATCTCAGATTAACTATGGGTTTAAATCTGATCGATTGATCCAGTAACTTAGGATAAAGTAATTTGTTTCGTATTTATTTATGCGAGATAAAAAGTAAAAAAACTCCCATTCTCACCGCCCTTGTTGAGATTGAAACAAAATAGTATTTAAGCGAAAGCCAATGGAAGTAAGATGGAATGGTAACCTTTTGCTCATAACTAAAGGAAGCCAAAGCAAATCCTACACTTGTGTGTTTTTGTCTTCCTTTAGTTATGTGCCAAAGATTACTATTCCATCTTATTAGAAGTATAATCATTATCATGCAAAAAAAAAACACTTTAGAAGGCAAATGGCTGCTACATAAAAAAAACATCACAAAATAACTAACACATTATGCTCCTTATTTCCTATACATAAAAGTTATAGGCAAATATTTTCATTTTACGATCGGCTGGCCAAGCAATTGTTCGCAGCGCCTACTTCTAGGTAGAGGATTGATAATCGTATACCAAATACGGGGTATGCAGATTTATGCCGAAAGGTCACTGAGATTATGGGTATTAACAGGTAGCGGCAAATTAATCTTCAGTTCCTGAATGCTCACTGTTCACTGTTCAGTTCAAGAATCAAGATGAGAGTTGAGATCATACGAGGCTGTATGGTGTGAATTTTATTCGTTTAATGATCTATCAAAGCTCCTCTCTCTCTCTCTCTCTCTCTCTCTCTCTCTCTCTCTCTCTCTCTCTCTCTCTC